AAAAAAAAAAAAATCAGTATTAATTCTAAGACCGCTAAGATAACCGATGCGACGTTAGCATGTGATCAAAGCGCTTTGCCAGGTTCATCGAGTCCAAGCAGCAAATTTTCAATCAGTGCCTACTGTCCGTTTGGTGTGTGTGTGTGTGTGTGTGTGTGTGTGTGTGTGTGTGTGTGTGTGCGTGTGAAGATCATCAAGCAATTCTCCATATCCTTTTGTACATCTCTTGTTCGCGACGTACATCGGGATGTTAGCATGGTGATCAATATGCCTTCCTTACCAGATTTCAGTTTATTATATAAGCGCAATCATATCGCGCATTTCACTCAACTGACGGGATATTGGCTGGCTGTTTATATGATGATGAAGAGGAATGCCTTTCGCTTTGGCACTCCCGTTTCAGCCAATACTCACTGTTCTGCTTTCATCATGCTTCGCATCCGTACTTCATTGCTTTCATTAGAATAGTATTAGGAGATGGTGTTTTTATATTTTGAAGACGTCGAGAAATTCGCCTCAGTTGGTAATCTTTGCATTGCAATGCCGGCAAGAAACTGACCAGAATTAAGAGACGTGAACAAGCTATGCTAATGTGTGCTCGAAAGAAAAATGAGTTACGGATATCGAATGCATTTTTGAGAAAGCAAACGCATAAAAAGTAGTGAGAGGCGCATCAAAAACGTGCATAAACATTCTTACTTGCAGGAGTATTCGAGCGCAAACCAGAATACATCGAATGTTGCGACCATGCTGTGTAACCGAAGTCAAACGTGTTTTTGTCAAAGAAACAATCATCTTTCTGCAAAAAGGGTCATATATTAGCCAACTGCAACAAAAACAATTCAAAGACAGTTCTGCGTAATGCCAGCTTGTTCTAAGTAACTGCTGGCCATGAACACCGGCGCAGTCAAAAAAAACGAAAATTCGATATTTAGTCTGACAAATTACGGAGTGTTTGGTAAGCAGGGCAGGTGTGTTTTAATCGAATCAAAATTATTTTTGCTTCAAACATTTTTTGGAGACTGTTTTGGTTGACATTTTCTACAAATTTAAAATGGTAAAAGACTTCAGAAATCTTACTTTGCTGTTCTGTCTCAGATTATATAAAATTTCTGTTAACTTCTTATTTATTGGATATTTGACTTTCAAATCAATCAAAAATCGCAATCAAATCAATTCCGTCCAGCAAAACTTGTGGTTCAGGTCCAAGCAAAAATCGTAATTAATTGTTTCTGTTCAACAGATGCACACAGAATTCTACCTAGTCGTGATCTAGCGGCAGCAACGTTAAAGATGAACTGATCGGTGCTCGGCATACGTCGATGAAATGCCGAAGCAGCTAAGACCAGAAGAATGGCTGTCTAGTAAATCCTTTCAGGAAGGATGTTCCACAGAAATTTCAGGATCGCTAGCAAGCCGATCAGCGCATGATGCTGCATTGGTCAGGATAACAGAAAAAGCTGCCAACTGCATAACTCGAGGACTATGAATCATAGCTGGTCCGAGTATGCAC